AACGTATTACGAATGGGAGAACTTCTGTGATTCCTCTCTTCATCACATTTTTGAGTAAAAAACTTTCAAGTTTCCTTTTTACTTAGAAAAATAGCCTAACGTGGGAAGTGAAATGTGAAAAATTAGACTTCAGAAAATCGTAGTGAATTTCCCAAGACGAGCTTCGAAAATTGTACATGAATGAAATGGTCATCTAGACATTTTTGGCTGTCTTCAAAAAATAAAATAAAATAAAATTCTAGGCAATCTATATTTTGCCTCTCTCTCCAAACAGATATTTTACATAAAACAATCCTTGTCCCTGGTTATTGGTCAACTACGCTATTGCTAGTCTGTTGTGTAACTTAAATTAAGCCTAGAATTTGCCAGGGTTGTTAATTTTGCTTGAGTTCGTCACTAAGTCGTTTGTTATTTACCAGTAACTACTGACTTCGATTCAGCGCCTCTCCGTTAGCTAACTTCCTCCTAATTATTACATGACTCTTCCTTGATAACAACTGCATTGTTTTCAGTTAATTTATAAAAGCGTGTCTCACAGCAGTGAAATCTGCTATGTATACAGCGAAAGCCAAGGGGTTCAATTAATAATTGATCATGTGTCTGTTTCGAAATGTTAAAAAATAGTTTCAATCTGTTTTTCGTTTAGTTAAATTCAGTTTTGGTAAGTGGGTGTTTCTTCTCTCGCTTAAATGTTTTTTTTTCTAGAGGGCAATATGAGGATTTCTTTCCGTTTGCCGTCTCAACGAGTTCATTTAAGTTTAAGAGTACAATTTGTAGCAGTTATTCTAGTCTGGTTCCTGGCCGAGAAATGTCTTCAAGGTGAAGGTGGTAAGTTATTATCTTCTTACTCAATTCGACATGTAGCTAGTTAGGAAGACTGGTACTGAAAAAAGAGTGTATGGGTCATTTAAAGATAATGTAAGATTACAACTTTAATTTTTGTGGTTAGAGGCAATTGGGTCGTCATTCCAAGAACAGAATAGCCGCTCATTCAGTATATACCTTGCTTGAATGGGCAAGGTTTCATCAACTCCACATTGCTATGCTTGTCAGAAATACAGAGGCGGCATATATTATTTGCCTGAGATCCCTGTTTTACGTGAAACTGCTCTGGAAGAGGCCTAGGCATGCCCGATATATTCTTGCTTCTTCAAAAATTCAAAGTAACACTATTTTGATTTATTAATAATTTAATATATTATTTTTAACAATTTAAGCTATAATTACATGCAGTGCACATCTTAGACGCGTCCTCCATTATATCAGCATAAAATTGCTCAGGATCGACCTAAATTTCAATTAAGTCTACATATATTTTTAATTAAGTCTAAGAAAAACATTATCTCTTCAGATGAGGTTCCTAATTAGAAGGAGGTAATTATTTCTCTTCATTGGCGAAAATCAATTTGAATTCTTTAAAAATTCATTCAATATTGAATAGTGGCCCATTGTTGCGATAGGAACTTCCTGTGATCTATGTTTAGCATACCTCCACAATAAACAAAAAACATGTAACATTGTCTTTTTTTCGTGGGGAGCCCTTGACGAGTTTTTTTGTTTTGTTTTGTTTTGGCGTTTTTTTTTTGGCGTCTTCAGTGCATTGTCTGCTACGCTATATTTTCAAACAAGAATTGACAGCAAAATTTCTAGTTTTGCAAAGTATAATTAATCTATTTTGCGCCTTCCCTTGATTAACAAAGCGCGGGGGGCCCTCAAGCGCCGTTGGGGTGGAGGTGTGCCGCCGAGGCCTTCAAACTCTGACCCTGTTTGAGACAGAAATGATCCATTTCGCTTCGGCAATCCCTGTGTAAGACAAGAGACCTAATTTTTTAGGCCCTGTTTCGTTTCACTCTGCATAAAAATTATAATGAGTAATTTTTCAAAGTAACGTCATGGACTTAAACTTTTTGGAAAAACAAAAATTGTTGGCACCAAATGTAGACGTCTCATCGCCAAACTTTCACACTCTCTTAAGGTGGCTGAACACAGTTTTCCGGGCGGTCAGCGGTAACTCGCGTGACCGCGCGTGTTTTTAACTAGACAAACAAACATGGCGGCGAAAAAGCAATGGTACACAGGAGACAATTTCTCAAAATCTACTAATTAAAATTTTGTGATGTTTGGCAGCATTTTTACTTTTATCGTATTTTAGATAATGAAAACTTTAAAATGGAAGTCGAACAGACGAATTTCGTGACACATTTAGTAATTACAATACAATTATATTATTGATTATCTAAAAGTCCGTCTATTAAAATTTGCTCAAATAAGTTTCAAATGGTAATGATTAGTTACAGTAAGCTGAGTGCAAGTTTATAGGAAAATCTAATGAGCGAATTTTATGTAAACTGAACAAAAGTGAAATTTTAAGGTTGTATTCAATCGTTCATGTTGCCATGGAAACTACGAAAACGTCAAATTTTACTTGTCAGTCAAAATCTTTCATCAGTATATTTTTCACCTGCCAAGTTTCAGCTTGTGAGCTGCAACCTTTCTCTTGCCATGATTTGGCAAATGACATACGCTCACAAACTGCAAAAACTATGTTCAGCCACCTTAAAGGATTCCGCCTGACAAGACACCCTACCCAAGACGCTAATCATAAGTGAAATCGTATACCCTGTTTAAGACTTAAGGGCTCTGAAACCATACCCTGTTCAGCGGCATTTACACGTATGGACCAAATAAGGAAGTGCCTCCCCCGCTCCGTCGGGGGGGGGGGGGGGGGGTAAAAATAGGAAAATAGGAGCATCTCTAAGTAGCGGTCGAAACAACTGTAACTTTTAGAAAATAAAGTTATTAATATCAAATAATAATAAATACCTTCTTTCAGTTGCAGAAGCAAAATCATCTTTAGAAGACTGCCGGGTAATTCAGTTTAAGCCTGCAACTCACAATCGCAGCCTTATGGGTCACGTGATAAAAGGGATATGGGTGACATCAGAAGAAGGGTGTGAAGCCAACTGTTTCGCTGAAGACGACTGCATGTCAATAAACTTCAGACCAAAGAGTCAAGAGAAGCATTTATGTGAACTGAGCAGTTCCGATCATAATCTACATCCTGAAGATCTAAAGGAACGATCGAGTTTCACCTATACATCTATGTGGGTCAGTGTTATTTCTGGTTTTCACTCTCACACCATAAAAAATAAAAATTAAATTAAATAAAAATTAAAGGCAGCGTACAAAAACAACACGACACTTGGATATTATAGAAGAGTGAGATGTATTAGGATCGCGATACGGGTTTTCATACCTGAAATTTTCTTAGAGGGGCAGCGACCCAGTTACGCTAGTTTCTAAATTAACGAATAGGGATTCAAAGAAGTTTACTAAAGAATTAACGGCAGGGGCTACCTCTTGGCATCCGTTCTAGATATGGTTACTTTGTTTGGAGTAATATTTTTTATTTTTTTAAATATTTTTTTTATATTTTTTATATTTTTTATACTTCTGCATTCTTGGCATACAATCAAGTGACAAGGCGGCCATATTGGTGGTGTGTTGGTGGTCAACACAATAGAATTTTTTCTCGAAGAATTTGCATGAAAATTGGGTTTAGTTCCCAGAGAGAGAAATGCTTTTTTCTTAAACCTAACACACCACCAACATGGCCGCCGTGATGTCACGTGCAAACCAGCAATTGATAAGACGGCCATTTTTTGACTTACATGACCTCTCAGGAAACAGCCCTGCTTGGCAAAAAAGCGTGAGAATCTTTTGCTTTCGTAAAACGTTGTAATGATACAATCTTCTTTCAAGTTCCCCGATTCTAGTAGTCGCACTGTAAGTATTTTTGGCTTGTGGCTTCTTTTAGGGGAAGTTAGATTCTGCCAATAGATTCAACAAAATGACGTCAAATTACGTCATTGGGTCAATCCCGTTACGCCTAGATGCTGGAAATGATAAGTACATTATTCTGTGTAAGTGGTTTGGAAGTAATAGATAAGGGTCTCCGAGGCCTTCCCCGGTCACAGGAAGAAAAAAGAGCATGGTTTGAATGGATTAAGCCACTCCATGAAATTATGAAGCCACGTTTACCCCAGCTGAGATATGCTTGTAATCATTCTTACTGTTGAGGGTTGTATTTGATCATTTCATCTTACCTATCAACTTAGCCATTTACTCTTTTCATTTCGAATAATGTTCATGGGACAAAAAAAGCAACAAGTGGTAAGTCACTGACTTCTTAACTAAATATTTATAGTTTGCTCTATGGAATTCCTTCTCGTGAGATTGAGAAACTTGAGATATTGCAGAATGCCGCGGCAAGATTAACTGTGTGCATGAAGAAAACTGATCACATTACTCCTGTTTTAAAAAAGTTGCACTGGCTTCCAGTTACCGTTGATTACGTACAAATCTCTTAATGGCCTCGTTACATCATTACACTCCCTGTCGTCCTCTTCGAATTCGTTCTAGTGATTCCAACCTCTTAGTTATCCCCAAGACTACTACAGTTACTTACGGAGATCATAGATCTTTTGCGGCAATTGCTCCGAAGTTTTGGAATCAGTTACCGCTTGCCATTAGACAAAGTAACTCTGTCGATAGTTTTTAAAGGGCTTTGAAAACGTACCTGTTTCGTGAGAGCTCTTTCTTTTAGTTGTAAAAAGCACCGAGAAATTTTTTTATATGTAGAATGCGTTTTTAAGAACTTTTATTATTATTATATTTCTTTTTCAACAGAATTATTGCTCGAGCAGGCCATGCCCTTCAGGCTATAGATGTCAAACAGGCTTTACCAATAAAAGATATCGATGCATAGGTAACGTAATTGTTAGAAGAATGCCTGTATAATTCTTCATGATCTATACGAAAGCCTAAGGAAACCATTGTTTTGATATTCATTCAAAATATTTCCAAGTTTAAAACTTACTTACCTCTATTCGACTCCATTGCAATGTTTATACAAACATTTTGGAGGGTAAACAAGGTGTTTTAGGGGCAATGTAAGAAAATGGTGAATTACCTAACTGAATATTTCTGATTCACTTTTAGAGAACTGGAAAAAGATCAGTGAAGACCCAGTTTGCTTTGGAGTTGACGATGACAGTTTCGGAGGTTTCAGTATTAGAGAAAGCGGCCTCATTTATACATTCAAACTCGTCCATCGGAATGGTTCTGTGACATGTGATACTGGTTATAAACTCAACAACTGGGGTTGCACCCATCCTCTTTTCGGGAAAAATCAGTTGTTGACTGTTATAACGTATCCCAACAGATCTGCCCTGTTGATTGCTAATTACTTAAGAAGTAAGGCAGGGTGTGATTACAAGTATTACGCGTATCAGCTGGAGGGGACCGATGTTGACTCTCCAGAGTTGGTTTTCAATCGCCTTTTACATCCACTGTCCGTTTCAGTCGGCCAAAAGTTTCAAATTTGGTACGGGGAAGATTTGACTGATTGCGAAGGCAATAATAACATGGGAATGACATGCGCGGATATATATGGGTGGTATGTTTAACAAGGTCATTCCGTGATTCGCCATTTACACTATACCTCTCCCAAAATACACCTTGTGGCGAGTCCCCAAAAATTTCGCATAACCTTTGTCTTTAATTTCTCCAGGGTATAACAGTCGTATCCAAAGAAACTTAAGACAAAGCTTATGAAAAATTTTGGAGGCAAAGAAGAAAGATGTGCAAACGGCGAATGAAAAGTAGAGGTTGAAAGAACGAACTAATCTACAAAATAAATGAACTAATCTGCAGGGTGGGATAAGAGAGCCAGTTAAACTTACGTTTACGGCAAACGACAAACGCCAGATTCAAGATAAGAAACTTTCAAAATAGGAAATGAGCAGCTAAAAACAGCTCTTGAAGAACAATTTTTATGGATAGGACTAGCCTGAATCTACCGATTTTTGTGTGGTCATAATGACAGTAAACGACAAGAAAAAGGGAAAATTTGGTCACGTGGCACAAACTAATTATAACAGTTGCCGTTTGCCGTAAACGCGACTCTAAATCTCTCTATTAACTAATTTAGTTGTGATAGAAACCTCAGTGCCATGGAAATTTTCATCAGAGCATGATTTACATTTTCATGTTTTTCGATCGCTAGTCGCCTCATGGGTCACTGCCTAAACAACATCATTTCTCATTATGATGGTATACTGGTTACTATAATTTGCAGTTAAGTTAATGAAAGGTGTAAGCGAGGCTTTAAATCCAACCATTTTAGGTAACTGATTTTTAACTTTCCATGTAAATTGTATAACCTTTTTGAAATAAATTGTAATATCATAAAACTGTATAATTGACAAGAACTCGTTTTTAATATATTAGACTAAAACATTGGAGGCATACAGACGGTCCTTCAGTTAAAGACTAACAATTAAGTACAGTTTTTGTGTGACTAATCACTCCAGTAAGCGTTATTATTCATTTGTAAAAGTAATAAGTAAGCTTGTTTATTTGAGAGTGAGCCAATAAACAAGAAGAATTAACCAACAAAATGAATGTTTCACGGGTTAGAAAAGTAAATGGGGTATAGTTATAAACTACCATTTTGCCAGTCGGTTTGACAAGGCAAGTGTTTATTATAATAGATTTTCTGTCATTGTTCATGCAATTAAGTCTTTATTTACTTCAAAAACATTTTTTTCTACATACCTGCAAATTATGGTTCAGGATAAATTACCCGTCTTAACTGCTACACCGGCCAGCTTAAAGAGAATTTCATTTAATTTTCGCGTTAAAAAGGAGAGAAATCCCTTGATTGTACTAACCCTTGGGAATTAAATGCTTACTCGGTCATTTCGCTCCTAGGTAGATAAATTTAACGCATAAATGAGTAAATAAATAAATAAGTTAATTAATTAATTTATTTATTAATTTGAGTTCAGAGTAACAGCCTATCCACGAAGTGGCTCTAAGTCCACTCCCCATAAATTTTGGATAGGTGTGTGCCCCCCAGGGTCCTAAACCCTGGCCCTATTTAGGGATGAGACAAACCGATCCGAAATGTAGAACTGTTGTTTTTTGAGGACAGGGGAAAACCGGAGTACCCGTAAAAAAATCCCCTCCAAAGACGAAACAGAACTAACAATGTTTCAGTTCTTTATACCAAAACTTTTAAGAAATCCCAAATTAAAGAAGCGATCGTCTTGGTAAATAAAATATTTTTCTTCCGCAGTTTGAGGGTAATAAGAGTAGCCATAGTAACAAAAACGTATCCAGCAAATTCTCAAACTTTGTAACCTGAACACAGGCAGGAGTCTGACACCAGGATATTTTAAAATACACTGGGATTACAATTAAGAACTTGCTTTCCTCTAGGGAAGCCTTTAACCAACTGTATACAGAACATCACTAGGCCAAAAACGCAACAAATTCATATCACGTACAAGGAAAGCTTGATAACAACTGCATTGTTTTCAGTTAATCTATAAAAGCGTGTCTCACAGCAGTGAAATCTGCTATGTATACAGCGAAAGCCAAGGGGTTCAATTAATAATTGATCATGTGTCTGTTTCGAAATGTTAAAAAATAGTTTCAATCTGTTTTTCGTTTAGTTAAATTCAGTTTTGGTAAGTGGGTGTTTCTTCTCTCGCTTAAATGTTTTTTTTTCTAGAGGGCAATATGAGGATTTCTTCCCGTTTGCCGTCTCAACGAGTTCATTTAAGTTTAAGAGTACAATTTGTAGCAGTTACCCTAGTCTGTTTCCTAACCGAGAAATGTCTTCAAGGTGAAGTTGGTAAGTTATTATCTTCTTGCTCAATTCGACATGTAGCTAGTTAGGAAGACTGGTACTGGAAAAAGAGTGTATGGGTCATTTAAAGATAATGTAAGATTACAACTTTTATTTTTGTGGTTAGAGGCAATTGGGTCGTCATTGCAAGAACAGAATAGCCGCTCATTCAGTATATAACTTGTTTGAATGGGCAAGGTTTCATCAACTCCACATTGCTATGCTTGTCAGAAATACAGAGGCGGCATATATTATTTGCCTGAGATCCCTGTTTTACGTGAAACTGCTCTGGAAGAGGCCTAGGCATGCCCGATATATTCTTGCTTCTTCAAAAATTCAAAGTAACACTATTTTGATTTATTAATAATTTAATATATTATTTTTAACAATTTAAGCTATAATTACATGCAGTGCACATCTTAGACGCGTCCTCCATCATATCAGCATAAAATTGCTCAGGATCGACCTAATTTCAATTAAGTCTACATATATTTTTAATTAAGTCTAAGAAAAACATTATCTCTTCAGATGAGTTTCCTAATTAGAATGAGGTAATTATTTCTCTTCATTGGCGAAAATCAATTTGAATTCTTTAAAAATTCATTCAATATTGAATAGTGGCCCATTGTTCCGATAGGAACTTCCTGTGATCTATGTTTAGCATACCTCCACAATAAACAAAAAACATGCAACATTGTCTTTTTTTCGTGGGGAGCCCTTGACGAGTTTTTTTGTTTTGTTTTGTTTTGGCGTTTTTTTTTGGCGTCTTCAGTGCATTGTCTGCTACGCTATATTTTCAAACAAGAATTCACAGCAAAATTTCTAGTTTTGCAAAGTATAATTAATCTATTTTGCGCCTTCCCTTGATTAACAAAGCGCGGGGGGCCCTCAAGCGCCGTTGGGGTGGAGGTGTGCCGCCGAGGCCTTCAAACTCTGACCCTGTTTGAGACAGAAATGATCCATTTCGCTTCGGCAATCCCTGTGTGAGACAAGAGACCTAATCTTTTAGACCCTATTTCGTTTCAATCTGCATAAAAATTATATTGAGTAATTTTTCAAAGTAACGTCATGGACTTAAACTTTTTGGAAAAACAAAAATTGTTGGTACCAAATGTAGACGTCTCATCGCCAAACTTTCACACTCTCTTAAAGGATTCCGCCTGACAAGACACCCTACCCATGACGCTAATCATAAGTGAAATCGTATACCCTGTTTAAGACTTAAGGGCTCTGAAACCATACCCTGTTCAGCGGCATTTACACGTATGGACCAAATAAGGAAGTGCCTCCCCCGCTCCGTCGGGGGTTAAAAAATAGGAAAATAGGAGCATCTCTAAGTAGCGGTCGAAACTACTGTAACTTTTAGAAAATAAAGTTATTAATATCAAATAATAATAAATACCTTCTTTCAGTTGCAGAAGCAAAATCATCTTTAGAAGACTGCCGGGTAATTCAGTTTAAGCCTGCAACTCACAATCGCAGCCTTATGGGTCACGTGATAAAAGGGATATGGGTGACATCAGAAGAAGTGTGTGAGGCCAACTGTTTCGCTGAAGACGACTGCATGTCAATAAACTTCGGACCAAAGAGTCAAGAGAAGCATTTATGTGAACTGAGCAGTTCAGATCATAATCTACATCCTAAAGATCTAAAGGAACGATTGAGTTTCATCTATAAATCTACGTGGGTCAGTGTTATTGCTGGTTTTCACTCTCACACCATAAAAAATAAAAATAAAATTAAAATTAAAGGCAGTGTACAAAAACAACACGAAACTTGAATATTATAGAAGCGTGAGATGTATTACGATCGCGATAATATTCAGGTCCGTACGGGTTTTCATACCTGAAATTTTCTTGGAGGGTCACTAACATGGTGGCCGGAAACTTAAAGGGACAATTTTATCACTGA